TAATGCACCCATGGCTCTCACAGCTTTTATCTTATTTATTTTTTGTAATAAAGGACCGTGAACCAAGCAGTTTCGGCTTCACAGTCGAGCACACTAATAAGTCACATCCGACTGAGAGGCCACAAATATTCATGATTTGGGCTTAAGTACAACACGTTACTCTTTCCATTCAATAAATACCTAATGAACGTTGTAGATAGATTTGTAAATATTTCAAAGTTTCTTCCATATTGAAAAACAAATCAGTTTATTATACAGTATTACATCTTTTTAAAAATGTGTGTCACTGTTGGATATACAGGACTATTTAGTTTATTTACTGATTTAATATTTATTAATTATTTAGTTCTTATCATAAGAGTGTTAAAAGTTAATTGTTTTAAAAGCAATATTTATGACAAGTTTCGTTACATAACTCTGTACGAGTCGCACTTTGTGTATGTAGTTTAATTGTTGTACTAGGTTTTTGTAATATTATTGATGTCATCTTACTCGAAGCTTCTAAATTTTTTCTCCTTATGTTTAATATTGTTGTTACTAGAGAGCAAGATATTTCTAAATTTTCTGTCGTGTGTTATAAATACGTACAGATTACTTCAGTGGTACAGATAAGTAAGTTAGTAAGTAAAAGTGAAAACGTGAAGTTAGACTGGGTGATTGTCAGTTTATCCGAAAATGGCGATTTCTAAAGTGAAAGTATCAGATCCTGTAATAACGGAGGCAGAGAATAATAACCCGTCTTGTCAGTTGGGTTCTAAAGTAATTGAATAAGACTGTGTGAACTTTTGATGAAAAAAGAGAATCATTTAAAGCTCTGGCTACAAATGTAATAACCAATAGTGTAACGAATTCTTTTGTAGATATAAATGTTTGACTTGTTTTTAATAAATTATTTTATAACAAGTGAATTGTGTGCTGTCCGTTTATGGTTAACATTTATCGCCAACAAGTCACAGACACCTACCGTAAAGAATCCAGCCTTATAAAAACCTGACAGTCACCTAAACGACAGACAGTACTTAAATAATAAACAGAATCTGAAAGGTAGCGAGAAAATAAACAAACGACTTTTCAATATTCACTGTGTTATTTTTCGGCTCGCAGATGTCCCTAGTGTAGTCAGTTAAACCCCGCTAACTGGAGGTTGCAAGGATACCAGATATGGATTGTGTGTCTGTTTATCTCTCCATCTCTAACCAAAATTCGTCAGGAAGGAACAGTTCAATCACATAACAACAATCTTTATCAACAACACAATTACAGATAAAGGAGTTGTTACGTCTCCGTTCGTTAATTAACTTTCCGTAACTTCGTTCCGACGAAACTTTAGCGACTTACTTAATAAAACTGGTTTATTCTTTCCGAATACAACTTTACGATACACTTATTTTCAACAGTCGCGCTAAAACAAACGCTATATCAACGAACGTCAACAATACTTCTGACTGCAGTTCAATTACTCACTGTCTACACACACATTATTATATTACCGTCACGTTGTCACCCTCTTTTATATACCAGACTACCCTATATCTAGTAAATACTAGAGCATTCGCCAAGGTACAGGATAGTTCTAGAAAATAGGTGGCGCCACACCAGTCACGTGATCTCGATGACGCAACAGAGTAAACAAAGGCAAGTATGACTGTGTTGGACAGGCAAGAGAGAGAACAATAGTTAAAACTCCAATGTGAGCTTTCTCACCAATCCAGGGTGCGTGTTCTCCCCCTCCCTGTGTGGTAAACTTAAACATTAATATTTAAGTTAATCCTAAATTAAAACTATATCGCACTACCAGTTAAAATAGTCTACTAAAACTCTAAAACAAAGTTAAAGTTATAATGAAAGACCAATCTTACCAGTATTGTTGCGTATCTGCTTGTTTGATAATTTCTGGTAAAAATTCTTTCCGAGTGACTTCAGCGATACAAGTCCCTTCTTGATTAAAACTAGTTTAGACTTTCTCGTTACAAACTTTGTAATACACTTAATTTCCACAGTCACTTTAAACTTAACTACTTTTATAAACACACGCTATAATTCACACACTTAACTTATGGTGCCTTCTGTTCGCTTGACTCAATTATCAATTATTTCTCTTCAATCTAACTCCAGCTTATATACCAAAAAAGAGGGCGTCTAGCAAACGCTGGGATATTCGTGAGGTTCCCCGATAAGTCACGATCCTTCTACAAACTCCAGCGTGCATGTTCCCACCGTCGCGTGACTTCCGCCGTCGTAACAGTATCTTCCTGTTGTCTGGGGCCGATTAGGTCCATAGCTAATATATCTTCCATGTGTAAAAAACAGTAAGGCGTCCTTTAATGTATTTAATTCACTTTGAAATTTACTAATCTCTTCCATTGTACTTCATGCTGATGTTGTACTTTCTCTCCTTGTTCTTTTTGCCACTGTTGCTGACTTTCCTGTAGTTGTTGGAGACTTACTTCCTGTTTCTTTTCTTGTTCCAGTTGCCACTGGTTCTGGCTTTCTTGCCACTGCTGTAGTCTCTCTTCTTGTTTATTTTCTTTCTCCTCCAACCACTGCTGTAGCCTTTCTTCTTGTTTATTTTCTCATTCTTGTTTCTTTTGCTGTTCTTGTATTGCTGCCATCAAATCTGATAAGTTGTAGTTTGATTTACCACTTCTCGTTTCCATTTTTTTTTCTTTTTTCGTCCCACTCTCTGACACCAATTTGTTACTATCTGCTTGTTTGTTTCCGGTAGAAATTCTTCTGAGGATCTTCAGCGATACAAGTTCTTTCTTGATTAAACCAGTTTATTCTTTCTAGATACAAACTTTTAGTACACAGAAGTTCCACAATCAGTAGTTTCTCATAACTTTAAACTTAACAACTTTTATAATACACGTTATAAATCACAGCGATTCACCATCTCAACTTCGCTCTCGTCCAGTGCAAAACATATACTTTATGGCTCACTAGCTCGAAACTAACAGAATGATAAATTACATAGAACTCGATGTAACTACTGCTCTCTCTTCATTTATCTCCGCTGGCTTTCACTGCCAGGCTTATATACTAACGAAGAGGGCATCTCGATCACACTCGGACTTCCTCGATAATTCGAGAAACTCATCACGCACGCCACCAGCGTTAACGCGCCAGCAGCGTCACGCGACTTCCGCTCTCGTAACACCATTTTTGTGATGTAAAAAAAAATATGCTCATATAGGTATAACGCAGTTGTTTAAGTATTTAAAATTTTCTACATAGTCTACATTCTTCTGATGAATCACTGCCATTATTTGTCTTGAAATAGTCGCATACCCCGTAGTATTAGCATGCTTTGCATGTTGATTGTGCTTTGCACAATATGTGTTAGCTTTGATTTCACGAATTAGATCACCCGTTTTAAACATTCTGTGTACAAGCCTGTCTTCAGTAGGATTATAGAAGGAGCCGCCTAAAATTAGTTGTTCAGAGTAGGGAACAAACAGACTTAACAGACTATTAATTTTTGAAATGAAGTCAGGCGAATTTAATCTATTTTTACTATTTACGTTCGAATATATCACAACAAACTTTATGTCACATCCTTCGAACTTTCTCGGTTCTAGGCGTTTTACGCCTTCTAACTAACAAATTACAGCATTAAAATTATAGCTTACAATGTATTTATAATCGCGTTTAAGACGTGATTAAAATCAAGTATTTAATTTAGTGTTAGTGATCCTTCTTTTTATTAATTTATATTATTTTGTTGTTATTTTCTTTGTTTGGCAAAAGTTTACGAAGTCTAAAATCCCTGTCTAAATTCCACAGTATAAGATACTGTTGCGTCAGCGAGGTCACGTGACTAGTATCACGCCACGTCTTTCTAGAAATATCCTGTTCCTTCATGAATGCCCTAGAATTTACTAGACATGTGTTAGTCTTGTATATATAAGACGTTCATAACATGACGGGACAACAGTGTAATGAGTAATTGAATGTATGCGGACAGAATATTGTTACGTCTCGGTTCGTTAGTTAATTTTCCGTAAATTCGTTCCGACGAAACTTTAGAGACACAAGTCCTTTCTTAAATAAAACTGGTTTATTCTTTCTGAATATAACTTTGCGATACACTTAATTTCAACAGTCGCACTAAAACAAACGCTATAGCTCACGTATCACGTGGCCAACAATATTTTATCGGCATACATTCAATTACTCATTATCTTGACTGCAGTTCAATTACTCATTACCTCTCCGTTGCTTCCTGGCCGGTCTTATACATACAAGACTACACTATATCTAGAAAGATTACGAGATTTAAGAAAAAGACGTGAGAGTTCCAGAATGACGTGGCGTGATACTAGTCACGTCACCTCGATGTCGTAACAATATTGTTGGCCACGTGAGACGTGAGTTATAGCGTTTGTTATAGACTGACTGTTGAAATTAAGTGTATCGTAAAGTTGTATTCGGAAAGAATAAACCAGTTTTATTTAAGAAAGGACTTGTGTCGCTAAAATTTAGTCGAAAAGAATTTACGGAAAATTAATTAACGAACGGAGACGTAACAATACTGTAAAAGATACGCAACGATAATCAACATTGTGTTAATGATTGTTTTGTTGCTGAATCTATCGCTGCAGTTAAGTTTATCCCAACATTTATAGATTACAGTCGACATATGTTTAATCACCAATGTTTCAACTTTTTTCAAATGCTGTGCTTATAAGTTTACAAAAACCTACTGGATACATATCTAAGTAATTATTTTACATTTGACTGTTTAATGCCAATTGTCAGCAACGCAAAAAAGAATGAAACTTTAAGTTTAACCAATCAAAAATAGTCGTTGATTAAATTGTAACAAATTTTTTTATTTGTTTTTACCGGTTGTTAAGTGCTTGTTACGATTTAATATAATCATTTTTATTTATTAATAGTTTGATGTTTTATTTCGGCAAATTAAAAGTCATAAACATTCATACACAAAATTGTAGCGATTTCCATTGCGGTAAAAATATCTTTTTACTACCATGGTGATTTCCCTAGTTAGAATCCGAGATAGCGTCCGCCATTTGCCACCTGAGGTATCGTTTAGTCTTTAGACAGTATCGATTTTCAAAGTTTGAGAAATAAAAATAAAAATCGTCACATAACTTTTGTAAGTTGTAATGTAATACAGATTTTAAAATGGAATCAAAGAAAAGTCCAAACAGGTAATGAGAAATATATATACATTTATTGCTATTTTCAGAGTTTTAAGTTTGCGAGTTCAGTAGAATTTTGAAGAATGGATTGTGTAAAGAAGTAAGCTATTTTCTGTTAATAAGAATAATATACCAATCTCCCCCGATTTGTGTTTGTAAAACACAAGGCTATTCTTACTTATCAGAACCTAATAGTAATAGTAACAGGTTTTTAGCGTTATAGGTGTTTTTGTTCAATTATTTAGGTCTGTGTAGTTAACAAAAAAACATCAAAATAACTAACACTAACAGTTGTACAGTAGTAGTAATACTAACGGAGTAATAACTGACAATGAAACGAAAAGATTCTTTGTAAGAAATGAACATTCAGAAAAAATTTCAGTATCATACCAAAGTTTTTAGTTTGTAGATGAACAATTTTGTAATTCATTTAAATGAAATTAAGAATTAGTGAATTTGTATGAGTCAGCATACATTACAATTTAAATATAAAGAGGTTATGATTTCATTGTATAGGTCACTGGTTATGCTACATTGTACATAATATTTGGAGTATTGTGTTTGGTCTTGGGCTCCTTACCTGGGGAAGGATGTTGAATTGTTGAAGAGTTCAGAGGAGGGCTACTATTAGTACTACAATGAATAAAAACCCTATAACCCGAGTGCTTTTGAAAGTGCTCGGGTATACTATAGGGTTTTTATTCATTTCTGTCAAGACTTCTTGAACCTACATGTTTTTCTAATGCTAATAATAGAATGATATCTGGGATAGAAAGGTTATCTTACAAGGACAGATTAAGCTCTCGGAAATTGTTTTTTCTTGAAAAAAAATTATTACAGGGGATTTGATTGAGGTGGTTAAGATTACTAAGGGAATCGATAGTGTTGATGCATCATCTTTCTTGGTACGTAGTGGTGAATATGGTAGAGCTAGGAGACACAAATATAACAATTCAGTGCTCTTCGTAAGATAGGCAGTTATCTTCAGCTAAGACAGTTTTATTTTTTTAAGTAATTGGCCTTTGGAATGGGTTGCTTTCAAATATGAGAGATGCAGGAAATTTAGTTTTATTCTGGCAGGCTTTTTTATTTTGTTCTTTGAAACAGATCACTGTCTTCCTTATTAAATATGATGAGACCTAAAATGATTCAGTTTTCTTTTTACAAAGTTATGTTTAATGGACTTATAACTTTATAATAACCACTAAAGGAATACTTTCAAGTTTTCTCATGGTTATACAAACAGTGTGAAAGATTAGTAGATTACTGATAATTTATCACAGATAATAGAAGTTTTTATTTCTTTTTCAATACTTTAATGTGCACTAACTGTGCAATAGGTTGATAAATTCACTTAAGTTTTAAAGGACAATTTGAGATGTGAAAAATTTATACATAACTTAAAGACAGTGTTACTTTTCTAATAGTCGGCCTGTGGAACAGCTTGCCTTCAGGTGTGGTACAGCTTGCATCATTGAAGGAATGTAAGAGGAAACTGGATGAACATTTTAGAGATCAGAGTTGGATATAAGATATGAGGTTTTTATAAATAATCTAAAGTAGGGTAGTACCAGAAAATAGGATTGACTAGATGGTCCAGTTAAATCTTTGTTATTCCTTTAAAATGAAATGAAAAACTTATTTCTTTTGTACATTTATATAATATTATTGTCAAACACTTGGTGCTTTCTTTGTTATAGAAGATCCAGAAGACAGTCTAAAACAGGTGAGGAAAACTACTGGGACTGCAGTGTCTGTACCTATCGTAATACTGCTGAAGCTTTTAAATGCCTGATGTGTGACGTGAGAAAAGGGACTTCTACTCGGTAGGTGTACAGAAGCAGTCAATTAATGATTGTACAGCAGTTCACTTACAGAGTATGTTATTAGGTGGCTTTGTAAAGCTCTTTTTAATTAGTATCTCCAAAACTTTTCAATTACATAAGTTAGTTTAGTTGATCTATAATTAACTTAACAATGGTTGTCATCTCTCTTGTAACATTAGCTAGCTCCTTCCCACTACTCAAAGACTTACAAAAAAATTTAGTTAGTGCTTACATATGCAGTCCTTAACTTTTTAATACCCTTGGGAAAATATTATGTGGCCCAAGGAGCTTTAACATTTTGTTTTAAACTGAGCAACTGTTAACAGTTTCATAGCTTATGTTAGGTTTATGTACATCTATCATATTTCCCACTAGTAATTTATGAGAATCTAGAATATTGTTCATATCTTCAGTGAAAATTGAAGAAGAAAAACTCAACCTTCCCATAACCTTTCTACATCTCAAAATTTTGATTCCCATTTTAATATCATGCTTACTTTTAATAGTTTAAAGAAATCTTTAGTGTTATTTTTAACAATCTTAGCTAACCTTTTTTTCCTTTGGTTTTGTATATACCTTTTCTACCAGATTTTTTTATCCTGGATGAATTTAGTTACAAGGATAACTTTAACTGCAAGCTTTTTGAGTCTCTCTTTGCTTTTAAAAGTTGTTTTGAAATCAACTTGAAGTCATTTCTAACACTTTTGGAAGTAATGAAAGTATAAAGTGTGTCATATGATTGCATATTCCTTTGTATGGTCAGCAGTACATACTTAGTATCTACTCTTTATTCATCCACATGTAACAAAACATTATTATACTGTTACTGATTGAAAAATGAATAAATCAAAAATACACAAAGTAAAAACCCAAATTTACTGACTATTTTTGCCTACTTAAGAGGCATCATTATTGACTGACAGAACAAAGTCATGATATTTGTACAGAAGGTGTTAAAAGTCACTACTAGTGCAAATAAACCTAAAACAGATGAATAGATAATGTAAATTTATACATTTGTTATCTTTTCATTCAGAATTTTTAAAAGTAGAGCTCGGAACTCTTATTACAACAGCCAAACACTCAGCTGAAAGTTTATTTGAATGATGAGATAGGGTTTATGGATGAAGTGGCAGGGAGGGGGTTAAATGTCATAAAGCCTTCGTTTAATTCTCACCTTAGAAGCAGTTACTTTTTTAGATGTATAAACATAAAGAATAGTTTGTCAACAGATGTGTATGTTTTGAATTTAAGTTTTTTAATATGTAGTTGGTTGTATGTAAGAATGTATATGCAAAGAAATTTCATTGTTTCATTGGATAAAGGGGTGACCTCAGTGGGTGGATAGTTGTTTGCATCCTGGTTATTATTTTCTGTGGCACTTTATCAAATGTAAAAGTCAAACATCTACTAGTATGCCTCAAAAAACACATCAAGAAAGTTACGACTTTAAATCCATGTGAAGTATTGTTCATATGCCAACTTTTAAGAGATTATGTTGCTAAGTAATCTCTGAGTAGATTATAATATTCCGCTAACCACTGAAGCCCAATTAATCAGATAGTAATTTCCTGGGATTTTCCTAATCTGTTATTTTAAAATGAGAACATAGAAAAGAACGAGTAGTAGAAAGTCTCTCAAAAAATTTTAAAAGAATTTATACCACCATACCATCTGGCAAGCATTTGACAATTTAGTAACATTTAACAGCAAAAAAAAGTTTCCCTAATAATGAGATTGGACTTGAGTTTTCATAGCTTACATTTACGTCCTGTAATATTCAGGGTTTCATCTTTCCATTTTTGGAAACACTCCCTTAAATACACTTCTATATATGACATGAATAACCAATCGGAAGCTCAGAATTTCCCCTAGTGGCTTTCTCAGCCATTTGAAATTTCTTTCTTTTGAACCAAGATTTCAAGGAGGTAGGGTGTGTCTTTAGTCTGCTTGAAATTTCTTATTTTTTAGACTAAAATACATTATAGTTACTAAGCTTTATACATTATAGTGGAATTCTATAGTATTAATGTAGTAATTTATGATTTTTTAGTTATTCAAATGTATATGTAAAACCTAAAAATAATTTTGTTTCATATCCTCCACGTGCAAAAATTTTAAAAGCTTAGCAATTTATGTCAAGCAACAACTGAGTACAAAGGTCTTAACTAAAAGAGATAATTGTTTGTGTTACTTCTTTATTTACTGCTCTACGTTTTAAGAAAAATAAGTTTAAGAACTTATTTCAAAATAGCAATAATCTATGTACATATATAATGCATAATAATTGAAATGTGACTGTATTTTGCAAAATACTAATCTACTGAAATAAAGCCAAGACAAGTTACTTTGTAGAGACCAAAGGTCAGTTTTATGTTATTTGATATGGTAACATGAGTGCACGTGAGCCACATCATTGTAACTTCTGCATTGTTAGCCAGGCATGGCTGGAAGGTCAATATAATAAATATATAGTGTTATGAGATTTAAGCTATTTAGTATAAACATTTATGTTTTCATGTTATAATTTGTGTTCCTTCTAGATTGAAAGAGGCATAATTTATATTTATTTCCTATTTTTTTCATGTGGTTGTGAGATCAGTCAAATCTAATGAACCCATACAGAAATTAATTATT